AGATGCAAATGAGGCCAAAACTCAAGGCAAGCCTTGAAGAGAAAACCTTTAAAGAAGGTGAGGCCGAGTGAAATTTATTGGCATCATGAGGGCTATTTATTTCATCCAGCAGTCCCTGTTTAACCTGAATGGATCTTAATTGAATCCAGTTGTTATGGGATAAAATGCCATCAACATTATTTCCTGACTCGGGCGTGATTTTGCTGTAGACCGTCATAGAAACATTGGGCTTTTTCTGAAACAGACAATGCAGGCAAGCTAGCCGCTACATGAACCAAAATGAAGCTCCACTTCACAGCCAACTGGGCCTCTTGTTTTTACAGAATCCCTGGCGTTTGTCGCTGCTCTTGCCGAGACAAAAGAAAAAAGAGCTCAACTTAATCTCTCCTCTTTCCAACTGAACCAAGCCTCGCATAGGCTGCCGCATGTTGTGGTAAACGCACCGAAATTTTAGAAAAGCTTTGGCCTTTGACCATTTCGCAAAGTGTGCACATGTCGGAAGCCGGCAGTGAGAAAAGAATGATGCGAAAACATTTTAAATGAAATAATGAAATTTGTGATTTATTAGACTTTTACGATGTTTTAATACTATGCTCAATATCGACTAGGCCAGTTGAGAAATACTGGACAAGAAACAGAACATGTGGCTGTGGTGGCTTTTATCATTTGTATAATTGCCGAATGAAGAAGCGCCTAGGCCGATCTAAGCAGAAAAAGACGGCTGATTGCTGCAGTTCTGCAGTTGCTTGCTTTTGCTATGATCCATCAGACACCTTCTTTCGCTTCGAGAAAAGACGGGCTAAGCTGTTGTCTGTAATGCTGGCATGCAGACATCATCACAACTCGAGCTCATCTTGACCCTAATCAGCCGTCTTACCCAACAGATAAAGTCATCACAAAAATGTATCTCAAGAAGTCAATCGAAGCCCAGCTACACTTAGTGTATAAAGTAAATGTATTCATCTCGAAAAGTTTCTTGGCAAAGAGGTGCAATAAAAGTGATGCAAAACGATCCAGATCAGTTAGAAACGAGGCGATAATTAAGACAAAATCAAATGTTGTGACATGACTTTCCATTTCGGAGGGAACGTTGCTTGGAAAGAATTCGTGGTGTCGTCTCACCGGAGGCCGAAGGAGGATTGCCGCAAGGTTAAGGATATCAAAAAGCGACCTTTTCTCTTTGTTTTGTATATTTTTACTCTATTTCGTAACGTGTGCAATCTTGGTGGTACAGACGAAAGCTTAGCAGGTGAGCCGATGAGTTTTTCGCACAATTCAACAGACCTCTTTACGCGACAATCCTCCTTCGGTTTCCGGTCAGACCACATCACCGATTTCTTCCAACCAACTTTCTCTTCGAAATGGAGGGTCATGTCCTGTTTGCGCGGCCCTCCTTCAGATTGCGGTGAGATAGCATCACGAATTCCAACCAATTCTTCTGAGTAGACGCCTCGCAAACATCTTCTACCACCCGCCATTTCGGACTGTTTGAAAGTTAGGCCAGCACCATATCAGAAGACTTGAGGACCGATTCCGCAGACCTGTTGGCTGGTATTCCCTCGACATTTGCTAGCTTCATCACAGTATTCGAAATACTCTTCCCGCATGAAATAAGGTC